GTGTGTGTGTGTGTGTGTGTGTGTGTGTGTGCGTGTGTGTGTCATCTAATTTCCATTAGGCTTACCAAACTCAACTCCAAATGAAGTCGGAAGCAAACTTTGACTGTGAGCCAGGCGTGCATCATGCTAAATGCATATCTAAATATTTCATGATTATTTGAAATAGAATTTGAGAGAGCTGAAAACATTTGATAGTTGATAGGAATTAGTTACAAAGTATAGTAGAAGCAGAATATATCAGTAGAGAGGAACTGAGCAAACGGATAGTTTGAGGGAAGAGGAAATCGAAAAGCAACAGAAAAGTTAGAGATGATATAGGGGAAATATATAGAGCTAGACTTATTGTCAAATATATAGAGTAAAAGGGAGCTAAACAGGATTTTGTTGAATGGGATACACAAGGATCTGAGCAGGTTTGTCAATCTATCTAAGCAGCCTCTTGGTTAGATCCTTCTGAATCTAACCAGCTTCATGGTTAGATCGTTCTGAATCTACATTTACCCCCACTTTCTTCGTATATCTGATTCCCTTTCTTTGATTGTATTCCGCTATAATCTATAGCGAGTAATACTCTAGGCTTGAGGTCGCTTAGAGAGCTCTACACATTTGAGCTCTACTCTTTAACCAACTTTAAGTATCAAGCTTAATCAGTGAGCTGTTTAGGGAATTATTATCGCGTGAAGCTCAAGGCAGAGTCAGCTTTATGTGAGTTTAAAGCTTTAATCAATTTCTCCCGCTGCTTCTCTCTCCCTCTAGCGCTCTCTGTCTTCCTCTCTTTGGCTTTCTCGATGAGTTGTACATCTAGTGATATATAGCCAAAGTCTAGTGATATAATCCAAAACTTTATTTAACTTTCTCTTTCTTGCCTTCTCTCTTCCACCTAATGTCGAGCTAGGCTCCAACTCTGAGATATAGCTAAAATTTAGGCATATAATTCAAGACTCTCTGTCTCCCTCCCTCTCTCTCTCTCTCTCTCTCTCTATCTATTTATCTCTCATACTTTACCCCTCCCTTCCTCGTTTCCTTCGATAAAGGATAGCAAACTGCTTGCTAGACCTCCCTCAGCTGCCCAATCGGACTATAGAAAATTGTGTGGCTACCGCTAAACTGGATAGAGTCACCAAAGTCACGATGAGTCGCTGGCTCATTCGTTTGATATGCCGCACACCTTGCCCCGGCCATTTGATAGCATTTAGTGTTCTGTCATTACGTAATTCGGGCGGCATTTATATATATGTGTATGTGTATGTGTGTATGTCTGCAATATAAATATATTTTATCAGCGTTATCTGTGGCTCTGGCATTGACTTTGGGCCTGGAGCATGTCAATGGAAAATCGAAATGCCAATTACAACTCAATCGCTGTGGCAGGCAGAGGCAGAGGCAGAGGTAGAGGCACAGGGAATGCAGCAGGCAGCAGGAGCCGAGCCCAAGTGCTTGAAGCCAGGGCTAATTGATTAGCCATTAACCTCAATAGGGATGCGAGCGAGTGAGCCAGAAGTATGCAGCGGTACAGCTCACACCTCACACACACACACACACACACACACACGCACACGCACACAGTCGTTGGCTTAATTAGGCTTAATTATGGGCTCTGGGTTGCTGCGAGCAGCGCGCTGGGTCGAGCCCAAGTAGCCTGCCAAACACTTTCAAGCCACATTAACAGCTCGTTGTTGTTTGTTATTGCTCTGCAATAAAAACAGCCAGCAGCAGCAGCAGCAGCAGCAGCAGCAGCAGAGAGAGAGAGAGAGAGAGTTGGTCATATGAGGAAATTGAATTAGCTGCAACAACAACAAGGAAAGAAAGAAATAATGTGTGGCCTCTTGAGCAAAACAAACAACTTTCGGTCAAAAGGTGCAAGTTTTACACGTAACGATTTGCACGAAGCCAAGAAGACGACGAAGAAGAAGCAGACGAAGAAGCTGAAGCAGAAGAAGAGGAAGATGAAGAGGCAGAAGCAGCAGCCACAGACTCAGCCTCAGCCTCAGCTTTGGCAAACACAAACGAGAGCAAATCGTTTTGTTGTCGAGCACAGCTCGAGCTACCTACACACACACACACACACACACACATAGAGAGCGCGAGAGAGACGCAAGAGGGGGACAGGGGGCCGACAGGGTGTGGGGCGTTGCTGTGCGCGTGTGGTGGGCCGATTTGTTTTTAGGGGCCAAGCGTCTTGGCTCCAGTTGGCGCTTGCGGCTATGGGGCTATGCGTCTCGACTCGAGCTCCAGCTTCAGCTTCAGCTCCAGCTCTGGCTCTGGCTCTGGCTCTGGCTCCAGCTCTGGCCATAACAAGCTGCCAACAACTGGCGCCAAGTGCTCAATAATGTTAACGAGCTATTCAGTTAAGACAACAGCACAGCAACAAAACCCAAAAAAAAAAAACAGAAAAAAATTGAAGAGAAGACAAAAAGGAGCAGAACAGAAACGATGCCAAAAGGAGCCCAACTAACCAGGCAGACGTGCCACGGCCTCAGTTGCCAGTGCCATGTCCCAAGTCTCTTGCTCTGTCGCTGTCTCTATCTCTGTCTCTGTCTCTGTCTCTGTCTCTGCCAGTGTCTCAGCCTCGTTGCGAGTCTCGTTTGCTGCTGGCTCGCAAATAAAAAATAATTTGCAGTCGAAAAAGGCAGTCGAACGTGGTGGGGGGAACGCAGAGGCCCAGCCCGGCTCAAGGCAGACGCTGCCTGGCAAGACGTGGGCCGCTGGCAGCAGCTTTTTGGCATTGCGAATGGCCCGAAACGTTGGAATACCCTGGAAATGGCGAGTGGGTATTAGAGAGCAATAGAGAGAGAGAGAAAGAGAAAGAGAGAGAGAGAGAGAGGTACAGATAGGGGGAGAAAGAGGATAACAAATAAAGGAAAAAGAAGTTAGCAGATAGAGTGAAAGAGGGCAATAACAGATAGAAGGTGAGAGAGGATTACGGATAGACAGAGATATAAAGGATAACAGACAGACAGTGAGAGAGAGCGAGAGAGAGGATTACGGATAGACAGAGTGAGAGAGAGGATAGCGGATAGACAGAGAAAAAGAGAGAAAGAGAGAGAGGATAACGGATAGACAGAGTGAGAGAGAGAATAACCGATAGACAGAGAGGGAGAGAGAGTGTGAGGATATCAGATAGATGGAGCGAAGGTAACAGATAGAGCGAGAAAGAATCTAACAAATAGAGCGAGAGGGTAATAGATTGAGGAAGATGGGAGAGCAGAATGATAGATAGATAGAGAGAGAGAGAGAAAATAACAGATAAAGAGAGAGGGAACGTTACAGATAAATTGAGATGCTATAACAGCTAGAAAGAGAGGGGATAACAAATAAAGGGCGGTGAGTTAACAGATAGAAGGAAGTGAAAAAAGAGATAGGTAACTGATAGTTGAATAGAGGGTAACAGAAATAGAGGTAGAGGTAGGAGGTTAGCAAATAGAGAGAGAGAGTTTAAGAACTGAAATTGACCGATAGAGGAAGAGAGGGTAGTCAACAGGAGGCATAATCGTCAAAGACCATAAAGCATACAGTTCCTGAATTTTCGTAATACAAGGTTACGTATAATATATGATATATGTGATTTATCATAATTACATATGATATATTTTAATTAGGCATTTTCATAAATATCTATAAAAAGCTTAATCGACAAAGGTTTTTAGTTACGATTTAAGAACTCCTTGAACTCCTTCAAGTTCGTTTCATTCATTGCTCAAGTTCCGCTTCGATTCCTTATATAACTCTTTATGTATATATGTATATCTCTCTTTCGTTATAAATATCTCTCCTCTCCGCATCCTCGCTCACTTTTACGCACTTACAGCGTATGCTTGTCGTCGTGCATGCCCAGCTGGCGCATCTTGAGCGCTCCTGCTCTGCCCACTGGCTCTGCTGGCTGCTGGCCCCGCTTCATCTTTTGCAGCTCTCTAAATAGAAACATCGCTGCAGTTCGTTCAGTTAGTGCCTCGGCCTGTCTTTCGTCCGTTTCGTCTGCCTGTCCAGCCGTCCATTCGTCTGTCCGTCTGTCCGTTCGTCAGTTAGTCATTTAGGCAGTCAGACATCAGTCAGCTTGTTAGCCTCTGCCCAGAGTCAGGCTCTCTTGTTGGCCCGGGCTTGTTTGGGGGCCTTTTTGTTGGAGTTTTTGCCTTTTCGCTTTTTTTTTTCGTTTTTCGTTTTTTTTTTTTTTTTTTTTATCAAAATGCAGGCGCAGCTGATGATGATCTGTGAACATGAACAAGACGTTCGTTAAATTTGATTCATGAGGCGCTGGCGCTCGACCAGAGCCGGAGCCAGAGCTGGAGTCGAAGACGGCGACCAGGGCAGCGATTGAGTGATTGCTACTTAAACTTATAATTTTCATATTTGTGTGTGTGTGTGTGTGTGTGTGTGTGAGGGTGCAGCCCTTTACTTGGGTGGTTAGCTGAGGCGAGCTAGAGCCTTAGCCTGGTCACTGATCGCCTTGGCTTGGCCATGTAATTTTCGAGTTTGCGCATTGCCACCAACATGGCCAGAACATGGACTAAGGCTAATCAACAAGCCTCGGTCTCAGTCCCAGTCGCAGTCGCAGTCGCAGTCGCAGTCTTAGCCTTAGCCGTGGCCGTGGCCAATTTGAATTTCGGACTCGACTGCGCTCGAGCGCCAGTCTGGAGCTGGAAACAATTTGCGGCTTGGCGCCACTTGATAACCTGGCAACGACGTGGCGACTCGACTGATCGCCGTTTGGGGTTTTGTTTGCTTTTCGCCAGGCACTGATAATGATGATGATGATGATTGTGATTGTGAGAGAGTGCCTGTGTGCATGTGCATGTGCATGTGTGTGTGCGTCAGTGTGTGTGCATCTGCTGGGGCATTTTGTGGAGCCTGCTGGTGGGCTCCCTGAGAACCGCTGCTGCGTTTAGGCTTTATGCCGTGCTGATTAATGTTTTATTTGATTACCCAGCCAAAATGACTTGTGCTCCAGCTCGCTCTAACCACAACTCTTCCCCCCTTTCTCTCTCTCTCTCTCTCTGTTGCAGACAAATGTTTCCGCAAATGAAATTTCGTGTTTCGGGTCTGGATGCCAAGGCTAAATACATATTGCTACTGGATATCGTTGCGGCGGATGATTATCGTTATAAATTTCACAATAGGTAAGTGTGTGTGTGTGTGTGTGTGTGTGAGTGTATGTATATACTTATATATATATTTCAATAAATATGAATCTCCTTTTCTCCAACAGTCGCTGGATGGTCGCTGGCAAAGCGGATCCCGAAATGCCAAAACGCATGTACATCCATCCAGATTCGCCCACAACGGGTGAGCAATGGATGCAAAAAGTTGTTTCATTTCACAAATTAAAATTGACCAACAATATTAGTGATAAACATGGATTTGTAAGTACTGTACGTCTTCTTTGTTTACCGCATTAGTTATTTAAGCCCTAGATCCTGACAACAAAAAACGTATATCGATGAAAAAAAAAAAAAAAAAACAGATCAAAACAAAATACACGATATATATTTTCAGTTCATTCTTATCAGTTATCATTGTAACTGAACAAATGGCATCGATGGTTACAAAACTTGACAGGTTGCAGAAGTTTCGGAGTGATGCATAACTTAAAGTCGGACTGATGACTTGTTTTTCGGAGTAATGTGAATCATGAATTTGTACTATCAAGGCGTGTTTTATATAGGAAATATATTTTATATACCAAAAGTTATATGAAGAGTAATTCGGAGTAGTGACGACTCTTTCGGATTCAATTCGGACTAATGTACATTATGAAGTTCTGCTTGCTGTGCGTATTTGTTATACGTTCGATGTAGTATATGTGGTCTCAGAAGCCATTCGGAGTGATGACTACTTTTTCGGAGTAATGTCATTCATGAATTTTTACTAGCAACTAAATTCGGACTAATGCATAGTGAGTTGCTGCTAGCAATACGTAGCTGATATAGGTTTAATGGAGTATAGGTGGCCTTGGGAGTCATTCGGAGTGATGAGTAGTTTTTCGGAGTATTGCAAATATTGAATTTTTGCCAGTAATGCCCATTGTGTTTAAAGTGTAATTAAAGTATGTATTACAAGAAATTCAGAGTAATTCGAGTTATTCGTAGTAATTCGGAGTGTGCATTTTAGCTCGGTTTTCAAATGATTTGAATGTTTTCGATACGGATGTGTGTTTAGTAAAGTAATTATCAAACTTTCGGAGTACTTCGGAGTTGGCTCTGGTATATCTATTGACAAAGTTGTTGATCTGCTAGTTTCGCATTGCTGCAACTGGAAATGTCTCTCATTTCCGCAGCTCGATGACAGCTGGACGAACACGTGCTGCAGCGGCAGCCGCTGCCGACTTCAAAGCAAATCATTATCTAACTGTATCACACATAAAGACATGCATATATGCGTGTGTGTGTGTAGAGGATGCTCTGCTGCGGCACCTAACACTCGCCTCCACTGCCTCCAAGTTCCTGCTCCCAGCTGGCTTATCAATGCAAAATTTGCGTAGCTGGCGAATGCTTTAAGCGCTGCCCGGCGCCCACTTTGAAGTATCGCAGCCAAGCAGCGCCACAGACGGCGGGACAGCGGGACAGAGAGCAGCGAACAGCGTCTTATCTAAAACTTCTCACACGCACGGATAAGACGCACATAAAGACGGGAACGGCGTCTATGACGACGACGACGACGACGACGACGACGACAACTTTCGTTTCATTGCTGGGGCGCAGTGAGCGCCAAACAAATTGGCGGCTTGGCTTTTGGCGGCTACTCGATGGTGGCCGATGGTGCACGGTGGTGCATGGTGGTGCACGGTGGTGCTCGGCGGCTGCTTGGTGGTCAGTTTGTTTAGCCGCCAAGGCCGCTGCTTTTGAACTTTGCCGCTGCCGATCGCGTAAATTTCATCAACTGCTGCGCAAATTTTGCAGTTTCTTTTTTATTGATCAGGCAAAGGCAGCGGCGGCAACGGCAACGGCAACGGCGGCGGCGGCGGCGGCGGCATCGCAACGGGTGGGCAAAACAGCGCGCAGCGTCGCAATGATGGCGACGCTGGCGGGCGCCATGCAGTTTTGTCATGTCTGCTGGCCCGGCTGCCCCGCCTACCCCGCCTACCCCCACCGCCTTTAGCTGTGCTTTGCCTCTTTGCATGCCAAGTCATAAATCGCGCGAGCCGAACAAGACGGCGCAGACATCAGCGAATGCCATAAGGGCTACAACAACAACATCGTCGTCGTTGTCGTTGTTGTTGCTGTTGTTGCTGTTTTTGCTGTTGTTGTTGTCTCTGTGTGCGTGGGCTTTGGCTCCTCCGCTAAGTAGCCTGTGTTGGCCATTAATTTCGCTTAGTTCAAACGCCGCGTGCCGACACAAGGCGCTGCGTGTGTTCCCCGCCCAAGACAGAGAGAGAGAGAGAGAGAGAGAGAGAGAGAGAGCTGTAGAGAGAGAGAGGCAGTGCTCCAACAGCTGTTGTCGCTCTCAGCAAACGCTCAAATCTATAATTTAACACATTTTGCGGTCAGCGGACGGCACCTGGCACCGAGGTCAGCCCCGCTGGCCGCCTCCCTCCTCCCGCCTGCCCACCGCACTCACGCGCTCGACTCCTGCCTGAATGCTTGAATTTGTGCCCGCTGGCTGCGTGTCAAAACAACAGTAAGTCGTTGCTGCAACGCCCACCGCCCACATCTATATAATTGTATATATATATGTGTGTGTGTGTTGTGAACTGTGCTTGCATGCCCATTTGACCTGCCAACCTGAGTCGACATTGAAATGCACTTAGCTCGCAGGCCAGCAGCAAAAGCTAGAAAAGAATTTCACAAAATTATGAACAACAAACAAACGGAAAAAAACGCGCGCGTTTTAAAACGCCCCAAGCGCATATGTGTGTGCGTGCCGGTGTATGTGTGTGTGTGTATGTGTGTTTATACTGTCGGCCATATTGCGGCTGTCGCAACCCTAAAATACGAACAACAACAACAACAAATTTATTGAAATGAACTGCACCGAGGGTTGGCCTCACTTCTCGTTCAGTGTCTGAGGTGTTGGCTAATGCGTTTAATTGTTGTAGCTGGCGCAATGCCTTTGCCAATTAAGCCGCCCGCCCCACGTAGGCTAAAGACTGATCCCCCCCCCCATCCTCACTCTCCTGCTCCTGCTCCTCCTCCTCCCTGCCTGGCAGCACTTTAAGCGGTGCCCTGAGACGTTGTCAAGCAGCGGTCCAGCTACAGTGCCAAGGACCTAACGACCCAAAGTGCTGCAGCAGCTCATCCGACTCCTGCTCGTCGTCTCGCCGACTCCCTCTGCCTGTCTGCCTGCCTGTCTGCCTGTCTCTTGGTCTGCCTGTCTGGCATTAGTTTCATTTATAGTTCAAAGCATAGTTGGCCATCTTCAAATGGCATCTGCAGTGGCTCGTTGTGTGCTCATTCAGCCATGGCCAAGTGGTCGTCGCCCTTGCGTCGCTGTCGCAGGAGCGGCAGGAGCAGACCAAGCGCAAAAAATTTATCACAGCCAAGTTGACAAATAAACTGAAGTGGAGTTCCATTTCCGCTGCTCGACTGGCCCTTGAAACGCAAATCAAATTAATTGAAGCTCACATGTCCTGTCAAGCCTTTTCAATCCTTATCCTGTTATCCAGCCTCAGATCCTGCTCCTGCCGCTGCCACTGCCGCCGGTCGAGCGACCGTTGCTCCTGTGGCTTGTCTTGAAACAATTCGCTTAGAAAATCAAAGGCGGCCCGCAAAATCATGTGCGCCCGCCCCCTCTCTCTCTCTCTCTCTGTCTCTCTTTCTCTCTCTCGATGTGTGTGTGTGTTTGCATTGAGATATGGGATATGGCCAATTTGTCTGTCATAGCCAGGCAGGTAGTCATCTTGTCTTGCCTGCTAGGTGTTGCCCAAAATACAACTTGAAAGGCTGCTTTGAAGTTGACAGCAGACCCCGTGGCACTAACCATAGTCCTGCCCCTGCCTCTGCCCCTGTTCCTGCCCCTGTTCCTGTTCCTGTCCCAGGACCTGGTTCGTGGTTGCTTTGCCTCCATTTTCAATATGGAGCCAATTAAATGAATCAACTAACTATTACATATATCTTTAGATATATACATATAAATACATTTTTAGATTCCTCCACCATTTTGTTATGGAACTAACACAAAACTTTCTCGCATCAAACCAAATATGAGTTGAGCTATTCAATATTCCACAAGAACTTTCTAAGCAAGTTTGGGGTAATATAAATAATAATTCTCTAATGTGGTGTATGATGATAAATAATAGTAACATAATACTATGTGATTCCATTAAAGATAGACCATAATCAAAAGTCGACTTATAGAAGGTAGTGCTATGGAAGTAGATCAGATTGATGTGAATCGTTGGGAGCCCTTGTATTCATATTAATTTAAATGTAGTTGAAATATGCATGGATGTATATAAAATATGTTGAATTTCATAATGAAGATTCTGTATATCATGAAAAAGTTCCATTTGAGGTACATGAAAAGGCATGAAAAGTTTTTATCTGAGACTTTTGTTAGACTTTGCTAGGAGGTGTTGGCTATCTAACACATACATCTTCGATCTCTGTCTACATCTCTATCTATCTCCCTCTCTTTCTTTCTTCCTTTCTCCATCTCGCCCTTCATTTCTTAATTGATATACTTAAAAGTTTCGACTTTAATCTACCAAAAATCCTTGAGACATCTCAAGGAAAATGCAGGCAGAATTCTTTGAGTTAGACCCAAAGTTCTTAGACTATTTCGACTGCTGTCGACTAGACCTATGTACCTTACTATATAAACCCCTTTTTGGTTAATTCTAAACAACTTCGATTGGCAAATCTTTACTTTAGAAGCATTGGCAAATCTTGTGCAGCCTCTACCACGCTCAGCTGAAGTTCCCCTGTCCATGGACAGCAATTGGCAATTCTTAGCCATCCATTAATTGTGGCAAACTTCTTAGCATTCCATCAACGAGATGTTTCAGACAAAGGGTCTGAGTAGTTCACATGGGCAATGGCTGCTTGGAAGAGGACCTCTTTGTATTCCTCTCTCCCTCTCTCTCACGCTCTCACTTTGGCAAAATAAAATCGAAATTAGTTGCTACCCTTGGCGGTGCTCAACCCCTGAGTGCTGCTGGCCTAACCCCTAAGCTATTTAATGATAGCTCTGCCCGCTGGATGATTATGATGTTGTTGTTCTTCCTCTTCTTCTGCTGCTGCTGCTGCTGCTGCTTTTGCTGCTGCTTGCTGTTGTTCGAGTAGTCCCCTGGTTCGTCCGTCCTTTCGTCCCTGTGTGCCTATAAATGTCTGATTTCTTATCTAATGCCTAATGCCATCAATTGCGGCGCTGCGGCTCACTATCTAAGCGTATATCGTGACGCTGAACGGCGCACGCACCCAGACGACAGACA